TCTACGCTATGGGACATTACAGCAAATTCTTGACCCCTGGATCTCAACGGGTGTTTCAAACACAAGAACCCTCTGTTGACACACTGTTGTCAACCACTTTTGTGCGACCGGACGGGGGAACTGTAGTTATTGCTCTTAATTTGGGTGACGAACCCATAGACATAACTATTGATGACTTGGAATCTAAACAAAAAGTGACACATTTATTGAAATCACATTCAATGCAAACTTATCTGTATTACACCAAATAATATTTAAAGATCAATAAAATAACCTAATTCAATTAAGTTTTTGTTTTAAATTATTTATGAATTTAATGAATTAATAATAATAATTAGCTACAAATAAAGTGTTTTAATAATATCATGACAACTGTTATCTATATTAACACAGTTAGATTCATAGTTTCTAACTCTTAAGTGGACAAGTACCAATAGTACTGTACTGTACTTTATTTTACCTCTTCATTGAGTATTAGATAAAAACCTTATTTTTAATTGAATAAATATAATACTTTATTTTATAAGTGCTCTATTTTGTAAACTTAAGAGTAAAATATTGATATTAGATATAAATTCAAAATTATCTCTATTATGAACATTTTGATCTGGTTTAGTTTAATATTATTTGGTAATGTATTTATTATTCAGATTCTTTACAATAATATTTATTAATTCTGTTTAATTTTTAGTTGAATGTCATCAGTCATGTTTTCCTAAAGATTATGGATACGGATCAACAGTTTGTGTCTGTAATGTCACACATTGTGATGATTTGGATCCACTCGTGAAGACCCCGAAAGGTGTGGTCACTGTCTTCGAGACGAGTAAAAGTGGCGATCGATTCGTGAAAACAGAATTGAAATTCGGAGACAATTCTGGGTTTAAAGCAAACAAATCGCAGACAATAACTGTTGACAAAAGTAAAGGCGTTTATCAGAAGATTGTGGGCTTTGGGGGCGCCTTCACAGACGCCGCCGGACTAAACATCAAAAGTTTGCCACAAAACTTACAAAACCGTATAATTAGTGACTATTTCTCTGAATCGGGAATTGAGTACAATTTGGGACGCATTCCCATCGGAGGCTCAGACTTTTCAACCCATGCCTACAGTTATGACGACAATAATAAAGACGACTTTGATTTACTTAAGTTTAGTCTCACTGAAGAAGACTTTAAATATAAAGTTTGTCTTAAAATTTTTTATTTGATGTTTCATTTATTTATTTTGATTATTGATTGAATATATTATAGTTGCCTTATTTGGAGTATGCCTTAAATGTGAGTCTAAATAGAGTGCAATTCTTCGGGAGCACGTGGTCTCCCCCGGCGTGGCTTAAAAATAACTCTGAGCTAAATGACGGTGGGTATATCATTGGTGAACCCGGT